GCACCCAATGTCGTCCAACCACTCTCCAAGAACCTGTCCTGCTCTGTGGTGATGGATTGCTGCATTGTCTAAAATAATGTGGTCTCCATACGAATATGGTGGTCTTCCATCTGGTAAGAACGCGTTTTGAGATTATCGGAAAAAATTAAGAAATGTTAATGAATTACTTGAACCGCTGACAGTATTTGCATAAATAATACCATCAAGACCACACAAGTTAAGGGTTATTGTAGGAGAATGCATATTCMTCATGATTTCAACGGCCGGGGTACCTTGTTCACTGTATCCATACTTAGGATTTCCAACGTCTGGCAGTTTCACACCACTCTCGTCAAAAAAACTTTAGCTTATAAGGATCAAGAGAATAAACATAATCAATATAGTTCTGACAATAATCAWCATTTGCTGCAGTGAATTTCTCAGCTACAGGYCTCGTCATCTTTTTCCAAGTCCATTTTTTATCTGTCATGTCATTCTGAACCGCTCTACGGATAGAATTGAAAGACGTTCCTCCAGCGACATTGCAAAATTCGTTAACATTTCGGTATAGTTCGCCTGTCGTCATGGAATCTCTGTTAGTCTTCCAAAATCGAATAAAGTCAAGGTCATCGTTTTGTAGATGTTTTACACCACAGCTTCTGCGCCTTTCAGCTACATCACCAGACTCGATAAACGAGCTCCATATTTAAAACATCGTTCAAATCGTCAAAAGAATCTCTACTAGCATTAGATTTGCCTTCAGAGGTTGGATAGTCGCACTTTTAGAAAATAAAGATTTGTAATATTATATCTGGGGCACTTGTCAAGTAAACTTTGTATTCAGCGAAGGTCGACTTACTCCCTCTACGTCATCAACCCAGGCTCCCCTTGCRCTCGGCCAAAAATCGTTTGGCCGACTTTAACAAGCATAAAAAAAATATAATTTGGAAATTCGAAATTTTTCTCTGTGAATTTCTGCTTAATACCTCCTAAACTTTTAATTTCAATTATAAAAAAAATTGGGTGAGGTGGACTTTAAGGCAAAAATAAGTTCAACAAACAGCCAAATAGTACCCGGTTTGACAAGGCAAGAGACAATTTCTTAAAATATCTGAGTCTGTTGGAGAGAAATTTGTGTTTTGGTACATTTTTGATAAATCATAAGTGTGGTCATTTTTTGACTAACCAGTAGATAACAAAGAAACTGTCAAAGTAAGTATGCAAAGAAATTTTGTGTAAGTGTCTATAGACAACAGATGTATTGCAGATGTCTATCTATATTCTTTAAGCCAAGACTTTAATTTAGAAGTGTTTAGAACATCAATGAAAGGAGTGCAAGAAAGATCGCGAGCTGCATAAAGCTGAAAAATTCTACTGAATGATTGAGTGAGTGACAGACTCACCCCCCTCCAGTAACTCTTTGATTGCTTCACAATCTTTGAGTTAAAAATGAAACCAAAGAATGTCTTGTATATGATTATTAWGCCTGTTTTATATATTGTAGGCTTATTTACTATTTAAATGTACTTAAAGTAAATTTGAGCTAACTATTTTTGAAATGATCTGTGTATTTCAATGTCTTTTCTACTCTGCGAACAAAGCTACCAAGAAGCGGGTGAGAAAAGTAGGTCTGTTTGCAGAGTATATCTTTTCTGAACTCCAATTAAATGTCAAAGTCGCAAAATAATAATAAATGAGACTGCAATTTACAGACGTGTATCAGCGGTTTTAGCGCATGCTCATGCAAATTACCATTATGCTTACTCCGTTACTCACATTAGTAATGCATGAGTCAGTGGGGGAATAG